GTTACCGACATCTGGTGAAAATTTCATGTCATTAGCACCTCTAGTAATATATTTACTGAGAAAAATGGTGACGTGTTCAATACTTATTTTACCCACTGTAAATGTTTGGCTGCAGTCATAGCTGTTTGATAGAATCAGTCAAGCAGACATTCTGGTCCAGACATCCCAACATGGGGACACCTGAACCAATCATTGTCTGTAAATATAGTGCACTGTGCATTTCACAAGTGCTGATTAAAGCTCTATCATACAAAGAAATAAAAAAAGCCACATGTGAAAATGTCATCCAGAAACGCCACCTTCTTCTCTGAGTCAAAGCCCACCACCAGCTCCCAGAAAATCGGGAAAGGAAAAGCAGAAAAGAAAACAGACGAATAAAATATGAGCCTTTGATGATTCCAAATCATTTCATTCTGTTTTAATTTACATTTTGCACAATGTATCAACTTCTTAAGAACTGGGGTTGTACTGTCAGTGCACTGTTTCATCATATTCTGTGTCACGTATCTCACGTTCTGCATGCAGTGTACAAATGTATCAAACTCTGGTCATGTATCTGTTCTAAGCATGTGTGTCGCCATAACCACACCCCAGCTTCACTGAAAGAAAGTGTGTGCTTCAGCATGTTCCATTGACCACGGCAGTACTGCAAGCCTTTGCACATCCACAGTTCCAGAACGCCTGGCAGAACAACAGACAAGGACTGCAGTGCAGTGGCCTCGTATCCCAGATCCTCTCCCCTCCCCCAGTCCCACCGGCCCTCCTCTTATCCCCCTGACCCCCCACCACCCCCCAAAAATACTCCAATGTAGTTCAGTGTGAATGAGTCACGTGGCTTTTGGCCCACCAGCTCAAGTGCGTTTGTTCAATGCTGATTGTTTTAAAGGATTTTGCTTCCATCAACAGAAAATTGGAGGGGATAACCTTTTGGAATTCAGCCTACAGCTTCCTCTTTGACATTTTGCTCACTCCTGGCTTGCGCTCTCTCTCACTCTCTACCTGAGAAAGGGCTTCTACTTATAAGGGATTATTTATCCTGAGGAATTCAGGTAAGATGATGTGGAGTGTTTCATTTTATTGTTTTGTCTCAGTGATTGATTCCACCTTGTATGATTCAGGGAGAATAAAATAAATAAATAAATAAACATAATTTCCTGAGCATCACTTGAATGTCACATGTTAGCCCTGWAGGCCTTCAGGACAGGGTTTTTCAAACTTATTGTGCACCGAGGACCCCTTACAGTATAATATATTCCAGGGACCCCCTCATAAACCTCATACTGATTTAAAATTGATTTACTGCTATTTTAACTCCTAAATGCCATGAGAATAACTACTGTTTGGCTGGTTGAGTATGCTTGTTTTACTGGTGCATTGCTCCCCTGATGCATTAATGCGTTTTTTAAAAAAAAAAAAAAACAGTTTATTATAATTTTTTTTGTGGACCCACAGTCCCCAGGTTGCGGACCCCTGTGGGGTCCTAGGACCATAATTTGAGAACTTTTACTTTAGGGTATTCTAGTCTAAGATTTTGACAAAATTGACATATAAACTGCTTTATTTTGACTTGGGTTTTCATATACAAACAGGAAGTTTTGCTTTTACTTATWWACWCATTTATGAATATTACAAGTAGACAGGTTAAGAGTGGCGATATGCTGTATATAGGTCATGCAGTCATGCACACGTAAATAAATGTTCTAATATAGAAACAGACCCAACCATTCAGAGTGCGAAGGACGCATGTTTGCATCAGCCTTACCACGCAAGTTCTACATTTTGAGGCTTTTTTTTCTAAACTTTTATTTCCTTTTACAGAATGACAAGCTTATTTGTTGACTGTGATGATAGAGCTATTTAAGAATTGGGTTTGTGCTTGTGTGTGGGAAATGTTTTATGAAGAACATCTTTCATTAGAAGCTCGCAAGATTATAGTTATGTCAACAATTTTCACTCAACTGAGGTGAGTGTGAAGCAACTTTCACATTTATTTGTAAAGAAAATGTAAAAGTTGCTTTACACTTACTCAACATAGTTGAGTAGAAATTGTTGACATAACTTGGTTAAGTAAATCCAACTATCTGTTTTTGAGTGTAAATCTGTGGGTATCATTTCCCTGGTGAGGTTAARTGTTATGAATATAACTGTGTAAAGTTCATATTGAAACAGCTCTTGCTGCACACACTGTCAGAGGATGAAACTTTTAACCCAACCCTTTAACAGAAAGGGAAATCGTGGCCAGAGAAATTTGTTTAATCATTCATCGATCATTAATTTATTTTACTTTTCTCTTTTCTGGGTTGTCGGGAGCTACCATTACCAGGTACACCGTAGACAGGTTATAAGTTCATCACAGGGTCACATGGAGACAAAAAAACCTTTCACATTCTCACTCACGCCTAGAATTAAACTAACAATTTTTAGTCCATGAGGAATCCATGCCTGGAGAAAACCCACACATGCACAGAGGGAACATGCAAATTCCACACAGAAAGGCCGGTAGTTGAACCTGTGACCTGCTGATTGCACTGCGATAGCTCTAACCATTAACGTCATTGTTTATGTCAGGGGAAAATATTAACTTCTGGTAAAAACGAAAGACTAAATACAGTTCTTCTTAACAGTTTCATCTGAGATAACATCAGGGACATTCCTGAGTCTAACWGCAGATGAAGTTAAATACATGTCTTCAGTTCACTCTGCCTAAATAAAAATGTAAAAAGCTTTACTGCGTAGCTTATAGAGAACCAATAAGTCAGCTAGTATGACTAACATTTATTTTATTTCCTTTTTATTTGTTTATTTTTTTTGCACAGTGCYTAAAGCCATTGCCGGCATCATAATTTCATACACGATGTACAGCTTCATGGGAGGGGGCCTGTTTTGTGCCATTGTGGGGAACATCTTGCTGGTGGTCTCCACAGCCACAGACTACTGGATGCAGTACCGTCTGTCCGGCAGCTTTGCCCATCAGGGCCTGTGGAGATACTGCATGTCTGGGAAGTGCTACATGCAGACTGACAGCATTGGTAAGTATTAAAGGTAGTAAACAGATGCATACGTRCAGTTATTCAACCAAAAATATAAYCACATTTCAAATGGGACATGGAAATCAGCTGGGCACCATCATCCTTTTGTTGCAAAGCCCTGAACCAGAATCACAACTTGACCCGGAAATAATTTTTGATGATTCAATGGTCAAGAAATTTAAATGAGTTTAAAAGTACCACTCTTATATATTTTTCTGAATAAAATGGTGGGTTTTAATGACTGTTAGCATTAGCATTTAGCTTTAGATTTCTGCTACACTGATAAAGGTGCTGCAGTTTTAAATAAATACACTTTAGGAAAGTTTATTTTACACAAAATTTGCATGCATGCAA